AATAATCTTTTAAAATAGAATTTCAATTAAACAAGACAGATCTTGATCTTCACTCATTAATGACTTTGAAATTGAAGGTCAAATTATTGAAGTTTTCGTATTTTTAGCTGTAGCTGGCTTTAATTTTTATTGAATGGCCTGACTAAATATGACTAAAAACCATTTATAGGATAAGACTTTCATGTATATCGAACTAAATTGACATTGGCTCTTTCATTACTCTGATCTTAGGGGTTAAATTTTTGAATTTTTCCGATATTTGCTATAATTGACTGTGTAAATCAAATGATTATCTTCATACTTAAACGAAGAAATATTTAGGACAAGTTCTCTTAAGGTTCAATTGAAATTGACCTTGAGCTTTAAATTACCTTGACCATCAAAGTCATAGTTTTGATATTTATGTACGGAAGTGACTGTCATTTTTTAACACAATTACTTCAAATTCGGTAACTTCGTGTATATTAAAGACATTTTCTACAGTTTTATGAAAAATTAATCCTTTCATAGAATTTTCTAATTTTTTTGTATGATGAGTAAAATTTAATGACGAATTTAAAAATAAAAAGAAAAATATATGTTGACGTGTTGGATTTCTTGTAAAATGGCAGTTTCCATGGTAACCGTATATCTAAAAACTGTCAAAATAGCCTAACTGTGTTATAACGAATATAAAATGTATAAGATAGCTTAAAACACACAACGAGCATTGTTTTATGCAAAGATAACCTTATCTAATGATTCTGTATGAAACAAATGATATTGAACATATTTCTTTAAAAAATGAGTTTTCCATGTTCCTCAACCGAACAAAAAATGAGAAAAATGAACATGAATTCTCAGAATAATTAGAGATATTGAAAAAAGTGTTTCATAGGATTTTCTAATTTTTTTGTATGTTGTGTAGAATTAATGACAAATTCAAAAAGAAAAAGAAAAATATATGTTGGCGTGTTGGATTTTTTGAAAAAATGGCAGTTTCCATGGTAACCGTATATCTCAAAATTGTCAAAATAGCCAAACTATGTTATAATAATGTATAAAATAGCTTATTACACTCACAATAAACATAATTTTATACAAAGCTTGCTTTATCTTAGGGTTCTGTATAAAAAAAACGATAATTTGAACATATTTCTTTAAAAAATGAGTTTTCATGCTTTTTAACTAAACAAAAAATGAGAAAAATAAACATGAATTCTGTAAAAAATTAAAGCTATAAAGAAATTTCTTTCATAGAATTTTCTACATTATTGATATATCAAGTAACATTTGATGGTGGATTCAAAAATAGAAATAAAATATATATGTTGACGTGTTAGTGTTAGTTTTTTGTTAACGGGCAGTTTCCATGGTTACCGCATATGCCAACTGTCTAAATTACCACGCTTTCTTAAGAAATATCAGTGTTATACTAAATGTATTGTCAAATATACAACAAAAACATGTTGTAATAAAAATTTCTTTTTCTTTTGATGTTATATTAAGTAAATGATACTGAATATCTTTTTAAAACATATCTACTGTAGGGCCATATTATTTTTTTCACTCGACTAATATACCCGAACAGTAAGCAAGTATTCAGAAATTCACAAAGAAAATAATGAAATTCGGAACAATTCTTGGATATTAATTTTGTTTTTTATTCAACACTTTTAAAATATATCATTTTAAACTTCTTTGCCCAGTTGTCTGCCAGTAATCAAGTCTCAACGCACTTTCGTCACTATCACACAAGTGGGTGGGGTAACGCGCGCAGAATTCTCATCAATGCTGTCGTACTAATACTTGGAGAAATCCTTTATGTGATGTTGTCTAAATGACCTCTTATCCTTTTGAACCGATCTCCTTTTGAACATTTAGAAATATCTATTCTGTATTATTTACTCATTATTTGCTTGTAGCCGAAATTTAAACACTTATCCGAATACTATTCAACTTTACCTTCATTTGAAGTGATTATCTTTCTTGGAAGCGCATAACGATGCGCACAGAAAACTACCGAAAACGTCTTTAAACTAAAATTGACATTGACTCATGAATAACTTGGTAATAAATCAATGGATTATTTTTATAGCTGGACAAAACAACCTTTTGGTTAGACATTTTAAAAAGTTCAACTAACCTTGACTTTCGGCTTTTAATGACCTTGACCGTCAAGGTCAAAGTATTGAATTTTGGTTAACTTGACATAATGTGATATTTATTTAAGGAGTTAACATATGTGGACAAAACAACACTTGTGCCCAAACAGAAATGTTGATTAATTTAGATAAGACCTTAACTTTTACATGACCTTGACCGCCAAATGATTGAATTTGACTATATTTGTCTTAACTTTCTCATTTATTTATGAAAATGATTCATTCTTTGACAAAACAACAAGTGTGACTAGACAGACCTAGTATCATGAAAAATGGAAAAACTATTTTTTTCTTGATTTTTCATTTTCAAGATTTGTTAAAACTGTTTATTTGTTTGCCTATAGAGATAATTTAAAAAACAAATCGGGCGTTGTTCCCTTGTTGCTATTAGTGGCTTTAAATTTGTTATTAGCAGTGACAATGTAAGCTTTTGTGGCGCCGTGTTTCCTGCCGTCCGTCGTTCATTCGTTCGTGCGTAAACATTTTCATTCAATACTTCTCCAATACTTGGCCAAATTTAATGAAACTTGGCAGGCATGTTCATTGCATGAAGATCTACCAAAGTTGTTAAAAGAATTAAATTTCTTGAAGAACCCTGGTTGCCATGGAAACCAAAAAAGTTTTTTTACAAAATCTTCAAAAATCTACTTGTCAAAAACCAGAAGGTGTAGAGCCTTGATATTTGGTATGTAACATGATGTAGTGGTCCTCTATAAAGATTGTCAAAATAATGCCCGTTTGGTCAAAAGGGGTCCCGCCAGGGAGCTCATCAGTTTTATAAAAAGTTATGTAGGGAAAACTTAAAAATCTACTTGTCATAATGTACAAGTCATACAGCTTTGATATTTGGTATGTAACATCATCTTGTGGTTCTCTACGAAGATTAATCAAATTATACCCGTTGGATCAAAAGGGGCCCTGCCAGGGGGGGATGCTTATCGGTTTTATATAAAGTTATAAGTGGGAAATCTTCTTGTCATAATATACGAGGCTTAGAGTCTTGAAATTTGATATGCGGCCCTCTAAATTATGCCCCTAGGATGTTAAGGGGCCGTGTCAGCAGGCTTATCGTTTAAAAGAGAAATAAATTTATAAAAAATCTTATTGTCAAAAACCACAAGGCCTACAGCTTGAATATTTTGTTTATTTCATACTTTCCAGTATTTTATTGTAATATACCAGGTGATTATATTCTGATAAACCAGTTGTGAAATTAATATAATATAATTTTCACTGTAGCCGGACTATATCTGAATACGGATGAAAAGAAAATCATAACTAAATGGAATAACAGGCAGAAATAAATGCTGTCATGCGTAAATTTTGCTTCTTTAGGAAAAGAAAGTCGATGTCAACATACATAATATTAAAAATGTAACAAAATTAGAAAAATTTAACAGAACTATATTTCAAAATTGATGGTGTGACGTCATGATGTGATGACGTCACAAAGGAGAATGCGCGACGTTACGCGGCAAAATCAGTAAAAAATACTTAAAATCACTTAAAAAGCATGAAATAAAAAGAAAATTTCCTCGATATGTTACATCATCTAGTGGTCCTCTACAACTATTATTCAAATAATGACGTTAGGGTCAAAAGGAGCTCTGCCAGAGCCTCCTCACTTTCTTATATAGCGAACTCTTTAAAAATCTTCTTGTCAAAATCCAGAATAATACAAAGATTGTTCAAATTATGCCCCTAGGATTAAAAGGGACCCTGTTAGGGACTCATCAGTTTTATATAAAGTAATATGGGGAAATCTTCTTGTCAGAAAATCCACAAAGCGTAGAACCTTGATAATTGGTATGTAACATGATCTAGTTGTCCTCTACAAAGATTGTTCAAATAATGCCCCTAGGATGGAAAGGGTCCCCAGGGGGGGGGTTATCGATTAAAAAATATAAAGAATTTCTTGTCAAAACTACAAGGAATATATAAAGCTTTGATATTTGGTATATACTAGTAACATAATCTAGTGGTCCCCTGCAAAGATTGTTCAAATAATGAACCTAGGGCCAAAAGGGCCCTGTCAAGCGGGGTTCTCAGTGTAATATATAAATGTTATATAGGGAAAAGTGAAAAACCACAAGGCCCAGAGCTTTGATATTTGTAATGTACCATCATCTAATGGACTTCTACAAAGATTGTTCAAATTATGTCCTAAGGACTTTATATTGGAATACACTCATGCCTCAGGTGAGCGACCTAAGGCCCAAAGGCTCTCTTGTTATTGAATAAATTTGTAATCAAACTTTAACATAATTAATAATCTTTAAGGATAGACATTCAGACCTACTAGATAGACCTAAACTAATAAATGGCATTTAACTTGAAGGTCAAATGATTGAAATTTTCACTTCTGTTGCTGCAACAGGCTATTGCTTTATAATTAATTAATGGATTTATTTCGTATCATAACACAACATTTTTTAGGATAAGACGTTTAAGTATATTTAACTTAAATTGATCTTGTGTGTTTCAAAACTTGTTCCTGCTACAAAAAAAATTAAAAATCTTTTCTCCGTTTATTTGCCACTTCAAAGAAAAACACATTTGAAACTTTATTTGTTTATTGCAACTTATACGTATAAATAACACAATTCCGTACCAACATTCTATCAAATATATCACTCATTTATTTTTCTTGCGTGGGAAAAAATCAATTTTGAACTTCATAAATTTATATTAGTTATTTAATTTATTTATAGTTATTAGAAATTTTAATTGCTCAACGTCGGTGACAAATCTCAAGAAGCATATTTCACTTAAATTTCAGCATTGATAATTTTGTAACTTGTATTGCTATTTGAAAAAAGTAAACGTTAGGATAAATGAATTGTGTTTGTTATTCAGAGATTTTGAAAATGGATGAGCTGAAATATACGGCCAACCTGTTTCGAGAAACAAGTAAGTGTTTGTCTACTTCTGTCAGAGTTTGTATTTTTGAACAAAACATTCCTACAAATATCTAAATTATTATCGTCATGACTGCCATTTTTATATCCACTATTCGAACATAATACTAAAATAATTTTTCAAAAGTTATGCCCTTTTTAACACAATGTTTTTTCTTCTAAGTTTAGTAAACACATTTATTTTGGCGCCATTGCTGCAACTAATAACAATCACTTTCATGTCCGCTTCCAGAAACTAACCAGTAATAGTAAGATCTGATGAAATATGAAACATGCCGATCGGGCTCGAATCCAATAAATTCTATTATTTTACAAAGCTCTGTTCATTGATCTATCGTTACTAGGTAAAATAATTCTGAATGGTTATGTTGTTTTTTCGGACTGTGTTACATGCTAACAAGAATTTTCAAAACTGAATAAGGTTAGCGTCATATTTTTATGAATGCACGAACTGTGACAATTCTTAAAAAGACTTAAATGACAGTTATTGTGTATGACATGTCATACTCTTCCGAAACATTCAAACATTGACCCACAAACGTCTCTTCATTTATGCGAACAATAATTAATAATGATTAATTTCGTTTGAAATGAAATAATCAAAGCAAAAAAAAGTGAAATGCGTGATTACTCGTAGAGTTAAATTGAATATTTCGAAATACAATCAGTTATGTCGCGTAATTGTTTGAAAGTCATTTAATTGAACAATTTGCCGATTGCACAAAGATTCATGTAAATCTTATACATTTGAATTTGTTTAATATAATAACTTTGAAAAGTCTTGTCATCCATTACTGTGTTGAATACCATTGAAAACTATTTTCGTCCATCACAGTGTTGACTACCATCGATTGTTCTAAAACAAAACATTATTTCTTTTATTATAATATCGACAGAAAGTAGACCATAAATGATGTCTACATGTACCATTTCATATTCTTCAGCTCTAATCGAACTTGAACATTGTGGTCATGGCAAAAGTTCCTTGATAAATAGCTTAATAGCAGGTAATAGATTATTTACATTTACTTAACTGAAATGATGAAAATCTTGGAATCAACAAAGATTGAAGACAAAATATGGAACAGAATTTGTGCATTTATTCCATCTTGCTTGATTATATTGGGACTTACATTATGCTTGCTTCCACAATGGAATCCTACGTTTTGAGGAATACTATCATGCATGATGATTACTGAATGCACTATCGTGTAATTGCAACTTCATGCCATCGTTTCAAATCCATCAAACTTCTCTCATATTCTAATGCCTTCTATATGTTTAATTGCATCTTTTTTAAGGACAGCGTATTATGTTTGGTGCTTAAAAGAACATTCTTAGCTTGTTCTTGATATAACTAGATGTAAAATAGTAAGTTCCTGTCAGTACCTTTAATTTGCTATAAATCTGCCACTTACATTGTCGACACTTTTTCACAATAAATAGTTGAATTTAATCAATACGTTGCATTTTTGACGTGTCTTAGCAGTCATATGTTTCAATATATTCACTGATTACTAATTTGATGAAATACATCAACAACGGAGATGACAACGATAGCGATATTATAGTCGCATGTTACGGAACGCACGAGGCAGTTGGCGGTAAGCTCAATATTTTGTTTCCATATTATGACAGCAGGTGTCATTTAGCTTCATTTTGAAAACGTTATTCACTAGAACAGTGTTGGTGTGCTGTAAAACCATTTCACCTGGCTTTTTTTATTATAAGTAAAGTATTGCATTGCACTATGACAGGCTAAAATCAACTGCTGTAATACAAAAAAAGAACTGAACCGTAAATAGTTTGTATAAAGCATGAAGAAAGGAAGTTTATAAATAAAGGTATATGACGTTAACATTTGAATATCCCCCCCCCCCAAAAAAAAAAAAACAGTGCGATAAATGGCTTGTGCAAGTTCAATAGTTATCACTCAATTAAATAATTAGTCGCTTCGTAAGTTTGCATGAAATAATGCAGAATGGAATTCAGCGTTTAATACAAAGTTTAAATAATATAAAGCAAGATGGAATCAAGCATAGTGCAAGTTCCAATGTCATCAAGCAAGATAGAAGAAATGCATTAATTCTGTTCCATAAAAAAATGTTGTTTAATATTTTTCATTCATGTCCTTGAAAAACAAACTCTGAAAATGAAAAAAAAAACGGCATTCGTCAAAAAACATGGAATATTTGGAAAACTGTGTATTTGTTTATATCTGTGACATTAAAAAAGTCATCACTTTATTTCGACCTATAGCTACAGTCAGGTTGTCGTGTTCTTTGCCGTCCATAAACATTAGCCGCGGCCATTATTTTTTAATGCTCCCCGAAGGGTGAGCATGTAGTTGCCGCTTTGTCCGTCCGTCTGTCCGCTTTTCTTGTACGGGATATAACTATAAGAAATATCACAATGCAACTTTGTAGGTACATAGATCTCATTCTACCTGTAGAAGGAGATCAAATTTAGTTTGACCTAACTCATAATTGACATTTATCGATTGAAATTTGCTAAAATTGTCATAACTTATTTATGTACAGATTTGACTCATACTTGCAAAACAAATCACATATGACCAAACCGACATGTTGGATAATTCTGATATGACTTTGATGGATGTAAAATGACATTGACAGGTATGGTCCTAGTAGCTTTAATTGTTATATATTGTTATATATTTGAAATTTGAAGCATTTATTTTGGCTATATTGCAAAACGAGTTCTTGCAATTATATCAATCACATTCAAGTCCGCTTCAATGAAATATCCAGTCCGTATGAAATATAAGAAAAACACCGGTGATTTGTCTGTCCGTCTGTCCATCTGTCCGACTGTCACCAAACTTGTCCTGACTGCTCCACAAAATATATAGTGCAATTTTATTAACGGAAGTGATGAAATTAACGGAAATGATCTGTACGACGGCTAGTTATGCATATAGTCGGTACCTTCCAGTTGAATTAGTTATGGCCAAATAGTGATTTTTATCTTTAAAGTTTATTCGGACTACTACTTCTCTTTTACTACAAATGCAATTTCAAAGAAATTTTACAGTACTGGTCCTTGCGCATATTGCACAGATTTTTCCTTTCAATGATTATGACTAAGTTATGACCCTTGAATAAAGATGGCGTTTTGGCCCGTAAGTTATTAATGTTTGCCTGCTAACACAATAGCTGATACATTCTGCAAAGTAGTCAAGACTTATACTTTTAATGATCGTCTATCTGTCTTTCCAGTCCAGCCATTTTTGTCAATGAAAATTTGCACAACTTTACAATTTAATCATTTGATGGTCAATTTTATTTACCGGTCAATGTCATATCTAAATTATTCTACATGTCTGTTTCGTCACAAGTGTTGTTTTGTTCACATATGAATCAAATACGTACATAAATAACACAATTATAACAGCTTTATTATAAGTCAATACTTTAGCCCTGAATTTTAATGTTTTTTAACCTCAAGGAGAAAGTCAGTTCAACTTTTTAAGACAATCAAGTTTTTAAGTGCAAAGTTATAGCCAAGCATACGGGAAAAAAACACAACAAACAAACAGTGAAAATATAATCTGACCGCCAGTTTCAAGGTATTTTATGATAGAAGCCAATGTTAAATTTGATTTTCTTAAAGGCCTTAAAGTAAATAATATAGAAATAGCCAGTTGTATCATAAATCAAGTAATGTTTTAAAAAGACATTGCAGGGCATGGTCATTCATGGGTCTATGTCAAGTTCAGTTCAAGTTTGTTGCAAGAGTGAAGTCTCAGATATGTTTCACCTAGGAGTGTCCGATCAATGGGCAACTGATACCTAATATACTTTGCTACAATAACTTTTGAAGAACTTTTGTTTTTTTAGTTACTTTTATGAAAACGGCTTTAATGATATTAGACTTTGAAAATATCAGATACCATATTTTTTGCTTAAAGTTGGCATTATTTAGCAAAAAGATACCTATGATAATCATATAGTTAAAAATTGAACGTCTTTCTGAGTGGGATCTGAGAGATATGTAAACAATGTTAAATGAAGAAAAATAGGTTGCCCCTTCTTGGGTTTGAATCCATGCCCCTCAGTGTCAATGCATTTTGACAGTACTTCTTGTCTGTTTAAATACTTTTCAATGCGGAGTAAATGGATTAGTGGTATAATACTTAAAAATGGTTTTTGTTTCTGAATTTCTTTCGTATTGTATCGTGTATCAATAGAAGAAATCGGTAATAAACGTTATTTATTTTACAATGATACATTCATGGTTTTATATTGTCATTTTTTCGGACTATGGATATTACGCTTTTAAGAATCAACAAATCTGAATTTCATTTCGATAAGGTTAGCGTCATATTTTTATGAATGTCGAAATATGATTATTCTTAAAAAGGACTAAAATGACGGTAATTGTGTATAATGTCATACACCCATTTGCAACACACAAATTCCCCTCTCTTTATGTGAACAGTAACATTTTAATTTTTTTCTAGCAAAAAGCAAAACAATGCCAGAAATCGAATAATCAAAACCAAAAATAGACGTATAGTTGTATAGTACACCTTAAAAATTATTTATTTCTAAAAGATATTGAAAATGTTATATTCTGGTTTTGATTGGAATACATTGAATAATTTCAACTGAAAAAATGTATGGTTATGCAAAATTAATTGATAAATGACTTGTGTTTATTATTTCAGGATTAAGGAACAGGGTTGGTATACAACAAGAGTGCGACCAGTTTGGAAATCGGAGCAACTTTATGAGTTTGTATTTAAAAGAAAATATTTTTCTATAATGTGAATATGTTATGTTTTTTTGTAACAATAACTTAAATAATTGCAATTTTATCGAGCAATCAATATATTCACTGCCTTTTCTTTTCATTATAGCACAGCAATAGCATGTTTTGACATCTCATTTCATTCAAAGTCTTCTGTATTTCACGATATCATCATCCTTTGTACTTGATGTCGCTTTTCTGACTTTCTTTTCTTTCTTTTTTTTGATACGAATCTTCCATCTTTCATACAAACAGAAACATTAAGTAATCTTATTTTGATTGAAAGGGATACTCAGTCAGGCAAATTAATGACAAAAATATTTAAATAATAAATCACGCTCAAATAAAAAAAATTTAAGTCCCAGAATGAATTTCTGTGTAAATTCTTTACATTTCGGGTTAGAAAAGTAATTGACCTAGAGTCATGAAACTTTACAGAAATGCGATCAGCATATTAAGTTGTGCATCTTGGGTTTCGCTTGTGGATTTTTTCTATTTTGTTAGAGTTATTGCCCTTGACTTAATAAAAATTTGCAATGTTCAACTTGTGTCGCACATAGCTCAAAAAGTATTTGACATAGGGTCATAAAACTTTACAGGAATGTTGATCAGCATGTGTAGTTGTGCACCTGGGTATTTTCGTTCAGATTTATTTAGTATTTTTAGAGTTATTGTCCTTGACTAGGTAAATATTTGCAAATTTCAAATTGTGTCGCACATAGCTCTAAAAGTATTTGACATAGGGGTCATTAAAAATTACAGGAATGTTGATCAGCATGTGAAGTTTTGCATCTTGGCTTTCGCTTGTGAATTAATATCTTTTGTCAGAGTTATTGCCCTTGACCAACTAAAAAATTTCATTTTGTGCCATGCGTAGCTCAAAATGTATTTAACCTAGAGTCATGAAACTTTACAAGAATGTTGGTCAGCATATGTAGTTGGGCACCTTGGATTTCGCTTGTAGATTTATCCAGTATTTGTAGAGATATTGCCCTTGACTTAGTTAAAACAGTTTCATTATGGTGTGTTATTTGTTCCTTGAGTGCTTGAGTAAGAATAAATCAACTTTGTAGGAATAATTATCAACATCACTTTGAAGCTATGCATGTGGATTATTTTTAGTTTTTTTAGAGTTAATGCCCTTGACTTAGCATTAATTTGCAATTTTCAACTTGTTCATGCATAGTTAAAAAAAAAATTGATGTGTAGGCCTGAAAGTTAACAAAAATGGTGGTTAGCATGTGTACTGATGCGACTTGGGGTTCGCTTATGGATTTATTCAGTATTTGTTAAGTTCTTGCCCTTTACTTAGCGAAAGATTTTTAGTTTTTTAACTTGTGGCACATGTAGCTCAAAAATATTTAAACTAGAGTCATAAGGTTGACAAAACAGTGGAGAGTTGGGGCACCCGTGTCCTATGGACACATTTCTAGATTTACAAAGATATACGTGTGTTGATGAAGCTGTAAACCAAATGCTTGTTTGACATTGTCAGCCTGGAAGAATTATGTTTATTTCGAACGAGTTAAGTTCTGTTTGTCTATTTGATCAATAAATGTATCGAAAAGATTGCGGAAGCGATTAATTTCTTATTGTGAAATTTCATATTTTTGCAGAGATGGAAAATGCGTTTAGTCGTACAACAAGTAATAACTTGGATACTTTAATTTCTTCAGTTCTTGAAATACAAAATTCTAAAACAAAAAATAAAGGAAATTTGTTCTTTTGCAATCTTTTAAGAATAGTAATAAGTTTTGACTTTGCTTAAATGACCAAACAAAAAATCATAAAAAAACTGAAATATATGAAAACGAAATAATAAAATTTTTATGTCGTCGGCCCGTCACTCTTTGAAGAAGACACTTTAAAGACTAGAGGCCAATAGGTTTATATAGAAAACCCCATTTCATACAGGAATAAGATACCAATCTGCCTGTTTGAAATTGAATATGAGTGCTTTATTTACAAACAAAGACTTTCAAAAAAAAACCTTTTTTAGCAGAACATTATATTGAGACCCCATTTCTCTGATTCCTTAATCAAAACTGTATCAAATATGTCATTTTGCTAAACTTTCTAGCAAGACTTTAGGATGCCTTCATGTTCTTTTTCTTTTTGGTTCGGAGCCTGTGTTCCCTGCAAGTGTGGCTCGTTGTGTCGGTAACTGTGTCCTGCAAACGTCGCCTTGTTGATGTTTGTTTCCTGAGTAGCGGTGACATACAGGGAACACATCTGTCCGTCACAAACCTTGTCCGGACAGGACTGCTCCTAAAAAACTATTGGTGCAACTGAAATAATCAGTACGAAGTCTACATGTGCATATAGTCGGCATTTTCCTTTTGAATAATTTTGTAAGAGTTATGGCCCCCTATGATTTTAATTTTAAAGTTTGTTCGGACTACTTCTCTTATACGTCTAATGCATTTTAGATGAAACTTTACAGGATAGATCCGTACCTCGTTTTTTCACACATAACACAGGTTTTTTGGATGAATGATTTTGGCTGAGATATGGCCCTTAAATGAAAAATGGCCTTTTGGCCGGTTAATTATTATAGTTTTGCCCACTAAACAATGGTTGATTTATGCTAGAAGCACGACATATATTTGTCACTACACCATGGTCTGTCTATACGTCTTTCGGTCACAAAACTTGCCCGGACTAATCCTCAAATGCCACTGGTGCAACCTCAAATGCTAGTTGTGCAATTTTTTTTAAACTTTTCAGGAATAATAATAACAAAGTGAAGTTGTGCATACTGATTGCATTTTCCAGTTCAATGTATTGAACAAAGTCTGTTTTTTATTATTATAATTGTATCATATTACAAACAGAATATAAGAATTGCAATAAAATGGATTAATATAGTAATATTATATGCAATTTTTTCATGTCAAATTAAGAAAAAGGGTTTCTTTTAATACTTGGGAGTTAAGATACAGTAGCTATATTCTAAGTCCTAGATAAATACTGGAAGTAGAACACACACACACACACAGACATGAACAATTTCGGATGAACAATAAATACATACATAACTGACTGTGTACTACAAATAATAAGTAATTTCCTGTAGAAAATACAAATTTAAGATATAAATTATCAAATTTAACTTTTATTTTTTATTTTGTCTTTTATACTGCTTTTATATATGAAATTTGTTCCCGTTCATCCATTAATATGACCTACTGCGAATCACCGAATGGGAAACTAAAATACGACTTTACATAACAGAAATCGGAAGGAATTCTTGCATTCGAATTTATTATTAGCTGCAATTGGAAGGGATTAATTGATAAAAATCGGATCCATGGACAAAAAATAGCATTATATCGGTAATCCGGTTTAAAATTGACATTTATATAGTAAGTTCTAACTGCATCAAGCTGTCCTACACACATGTTCATGGGTGTGATAAAAGGGTTGTTATAACAACCATTAGGTCACAGTTATCTCATGAAATGAAAACTTAAATTTTACTTATATGCATATTTAAGATTTGTAAACAATTAAGTTGTTGTTGTTTTTAGACCCGTTTTGTATGACAGAGTAGCTCTAATACTTCTGACATGGATTTGAAATATTCCTACTATTCTTAAAGTTTAATGCATTTTTCCTCAGTCTGATTTTGTCAAGAGAAAATGGACTAATTAAACAACTTGCATCTTTGAATTACCTGTTTAGTCTGAATAAGTATGCAAGTTTTCCTATTTTATTACTTTTTTATTTTTTTCCAGTACAAATGAGATTAAATGTCCAAATTAATGTTCTTTCAGTTGATGACTTCTATAAAGGGGTACTGAACCGAAGCCTTACAAGATTTGTGGAGGACCTTGACACAACTACCATACTGGACTTGCTTTTGGAAAGAGATTTTTTGACAGATCGTCAAGTGACAGATATTAAAGTATGTAAATCTTATGTAACTTATCCTACCGTGTACTGAAAGGTTTGAGAGCTTTCCAATGAATAAAAAAAAAATTAATTATCAGAAAAAGATCAAAGTCAGTAAAGAAAGAGTTCAGTATCAGACTTGTACATTTTTTATAGATACTTAAAATATATTTATACCTTTTCTAGATTAGTTTCAGTCAATATGTCTTACTGAAAGGTGTGTGTAAAAACTAATAAAGACTGACATTCTAATTGATAATAATATAATGTAAGAATTGTTTCTCTGTACTTTTTATTTTTTAAGATATTGCCCTTGGTAAATTTTCCGGGCCATGTCTCATAAACTATAAAAGCTATGGGCTGGACTTGAAACTTCATAGGATGGTAGATCTCATTCAGAAAAAGTGCAATGCATAAGAACCGGTACTCTGCACTTCTTACTTTTTGAGCTATTGCCCTTTGTTATTTTTTATATTTTATTTTTGTCTAGGCTATTTCTCATAAAATATCAGAGCTATGGATTTGAAACTTTATACGATGACAGATCTCATTATGAAAAAGTGCATTGCACAAGAACCGGCACTCTGCACTTTTATTTTTTGAGTAATTGCCCTTTTTTACTTTATTTTTGTGTGGGTCATTTCTCATAAACTATAAAAGCTATGGTCTTGAAACTTTATAGGATGATAGATCTCATTCACAGGAAGTTCAATGTAAAAAAGTCAATACTCTGCACTCCTTATTTTCTAGTTATTGCCCTTTGTTAATTTTCATACTTTATTTTGTCCGGGCCATTTCTCATAAACTATCAAAGCTATGGATTTGAAACTTCATATGATATTAGATCTCAATGAGAAGAAGTGCAGTGCACAAGAACTTGTAATCTGCACTTCATGATATTTGAGTTATTGCCTTTTGTAAATTTTCTGACTAAATAGGCTTGTCCAGAGCATATATAACTTCGTCACTATAAGTTTGATCGACTCCAAATTTGGTATGTAAGCTTTTCTCATTTACCTGAAGTGCAGTGCTTAAGAATCCATCATAGAGTCCACCATTTGATCTGTCAGTGTAAAACTTTTTCATGGTATTTTTATTTTTGATAAAATAACAGTTTTAGTAATCCTGATGTTATATTTTTACAATCAGTTCAAATGCCACTTAAGTTCAATGTATGTGTACATTGTAAGAGCGGTGTTTATAAATAACCTATATTTTAAAAGAAAATGCCTAAGTGACAGCTATACTGTTCATAAGGCGACACATCCGACTCGTGGAGTTCAAGTTTAGGGTAATATTTTTGCATGCCAATTGGTATTTCCAAAAAAAGCGAATTGGTTGAAACTTGACACACTTATTTGAGGGAATAATGATAACTCACTTGTTATGGCCAAGAACTCTTACGCGAATTTGAAAGAATTATCACCTTTTTCGAACAACAATATTTATTCATTATCCATGCTCTTGTTTAACTATCAAGAAGTTAAAAAGACTCACACACACACGCACGCACATACACAAAACTTACTAACAAACTAATTATGAAATGTATGATACAGAGATCAATAAGATAAGAAAAATAGACTAATGAAACACTGAAAACAGTATTTTAATCTATTGAAGGAGCTGTCTTTGACTTCAACAAGGACAAAAAAAATATTATCTCAAGTTGCCTTAAGGGGTGCAGAGGGATACAGAATATTTAAACAGTTACTGAGAGAGTCGAAGCAAGAACGTTTAGCAGAATATTTGGGTCGGCAAGAGTTAGATTTAAAGATAAATTTGATGACTGAGAATGAAGATAAAAGGAAGCAAGTTAGGTTGCAAACTGCTGCTGCAAATATAAAGGCTAATACAGGTAAAAAGAATAAAAATAAGCCTGACTGTCTGTCATTTTGACTGGTTTTATTCCAATTCAATTATTTACTGTTTTATTTCAAAGGTTTTGAAACCCACCCGGGGTCTGCTGTCCCTGACACACTTCAATATAGACATGTGGGTTCTTCATGTACAGGGTAAATAGAAACCATGGACTTAAAGATATGGACACCTGAAATGATATATGCATCAATAACATTAAATTCAACTATTCAAAGAATAGAGAGAGCTATTGCACTCATCCTGGTGTAAATGTCTGTCTTTGGTTGATTTTTTTTTGTGCAAGCTGGTATCTCTAAAACTACTTAATTGAATGGGTTGAAACTGCGTGCACTTATTAGACAGCATAAAAGGGGGTCATTGTTGAAGGCCAATGACTCTAACCTTTATTTTGACAGAATTATAGCCCTTTTGAACTTAGACAATTCTACATTAACAAGGGTGTTGTTTTATTTTCAAGTACTGAGAACAGTCAAGCATGCTACCTTATAGACAGCTCTTATTATCCCCCGCTGATTAAATAGTGAGGGGGATATTGTTTTGGCGATGTCCGTCTTGTTTTTCCGCCCATCCATCCGAATTTTGATCCGCGCTAGTTCTCTGCAACTGCTGGCTGGAATTCAATGAAACTTTATGGGAACCATTAATATCAAGAGAAGATGTTCGCTAGTTCTTTGCAACTGCTGGATTGATTTCAACAAAACTGAATGGGAACCATCAATACAAAAGGACAATTTGCATCTCATTGGCATCTCTAGATAATACTGTTTAACTCGGGGTTATCCCTATGGCCTCTGTTTTTGCCCTGAATTTTTATCTTATACAATGTATAATACTGTTTATGCCTTGATAAATAATAAATAAGCCTTTGTCTCCCGTTTTTGGTTAGTAAAACCAGTACCGACAGAGGAACAAAACGAAAATTTTTGGTTTTTTACACAAAATTAAATTTTATATTTAAGTCCTGGAATTTTTAAATAACTTCCGTAACATCTACATAATTTTGTTATAAAATTTTAATTTTAAAAGCTGAACAAAACGTGCAAAAGTCTTTCCTATGACCCTTCTGGTTAATGTTAAAAAGGGGAATACAAAAACGACCCTTGCAAAATAAGTGGTATCCAAAAACCCAGTATTTATATCTTCCTTTACGTTTTTAAGGGGCCCATGGAAAAATTTTTTTTCAGTCTGGAAATTAAAAATGAGATTTTTATTGGAAAAAATCTAATAAAACCTTCTTTTGGGCAGATGAACAACCCCTCGGGAAAAAAATAATTAAAAAACTGGATAAAAAATCCGCACCAAAATACTGATGTCATTAGCAAAAAAACCAGCTGTTATTTATAGTCTTAGAGGCTAGTGCAATTGATTTTTGATGCCTGCATTTGTATTGTCTTTGGGGAAACTCCGCATTTCTTGTGCGGAGAGATTTTTTCATTCTGATAAACCCTATAAAATTTAAGCGTTTTGGCCCCAAATTTTAATTTAAACAGCTTCAATTGCAGACCCCCTTTCCCCCAAAGCAAGGTCACAATTGGTGATAAGTAGTCAATTTGTTGTTTTGGGGGGTAATGTGTGTCTGGTCCATAACTTTCTCACTTTTTTTAAAAAAAAGGCAGAGATGTTTACAAAAAAGAGGGGGCGTTTGTGCACGTCAAGACCCCTACCTGAAATGTTAAAAAACATTTGGGGTCAAAGTTTAAAATTTTCTTTATGGAGTATATTTTGTGTTGTCCCAACTTTGCAAAATTGAATAAAGCGTTTTTTTAAATTACATTGCAAAAAAGTTCACAAAAGATACGTTTTTTATGAGCAACGTTGGCCATAAAATCCCAAAGGTCAAAAAGGGCACACTTGGCGGGGGGGTTCAAGCTTAACCGGTCTTTACGGGATTTTGTGTTCGGGGGCAATTATTTTAGTCGCCCGAGCAAAACTGCTCAATTTTGGTTTTTTATCCAATTTGCTGGGGACCCTTGTCCTTAGTGCGTTTGCGTCTGTGTCAATTTTTTTACCCAAAACCGAAAAACTTTTGGGATAGTTTAGCAGGACTCTACTAAAATTGTTTAAATTGTTCGCTCCGCGGAAAAAAACTGGTCAGAAGTGGAAAAAAGTTTTTAAAAAAGAAATCTTTAAAAACTTTCCCCTGAAAATAAAAGGCTAGGTTGATATTTTGGGTTGATATCAATAAAAATTCTTATGTCTTAAAAGCGATAAGTTCCCCGGGGTCATTTGTTTTCCTTATTTTTTTGTTTTTAAGGAAACTTTTAAAAAGGAGGGGTTGAAATTTTGACTTGGCCAAATTTTGTAGTGACTTCTACCCTTTTTTCAAATTATAGCCAAGGTCAAAAAATTTATCCCCCCCGGGTGTAGTTGATTTGCCAAAAAATGAAACGAAATTTATTATTCCTCTAGAAAAACAAAAATCTTCTTTCCTAAAATAAGGGCCCAAAACTAAGAATATTTTTTGGGGTGTAGTAATCTTATGAAACTCAAAAAAAAATTGTACAAAACATAGCCTGGACAAAAAATTTTCTCACCTTAGGGGGTTTTTTGATTTTGTTTTTAAACAGTCCAACCCCCCTTATTTGAATAACGCGGACGAATAAATTTTACTTTTAATAATCGATTTTGAAAAACCTGAAAAAATGTGATAGAAAAAAAATCCATTTGGTTATGTGTTTCAAAAAACACTGATTTTACAAAAATTTTCAGAAAAAAATTATCGAAAAAGGATATAAAAAATTTATTTTTCTGAAACATAAATTTCTTTTATTTTATTCTACTTTTTGTATCGTTTTGTTTCAATTTTGTGAAACCTTTTATGGCATGTTGTAACTTTTAAAAAGCTTGTTTTGGCCAAATTCAGGAAAAGTAAAAATTTTGGGGGTTTTTTCCACTAAGTTCAAAAATGCTTCATCTGGGGCCCACAACCAGGCAACACCCCAGATATGGTTAACCTTCAACACAAAGGGGAACTTTTTAGGTCCCAAAATATCTAGAAAAAGTCAAAAAAAAGGTTTGTTTAAATTTTTTCAAATCATGTTTGAATAGGGGATTATTTGGGGTAAAAAAACTGGAACCCCCACAATCCATAATTGGAAAATTGTTTTACTTTCATATTTTGATTTATTTTAATAAAATGTCTTTTTGGTGATTTTAGCTAAACGGAAAATAATCAACTAGTCAAAATTTTTTCACACCGCCCAAAAAAAGGGGAAAAAACTTTGTCATGACTCCAGAGGTTACTTTTCTTTACCCAAATATCCTTAAAATTGGTCAGAACGGTTGTTTTATGTTTTCATCAGGTTTGAAATTGGTCATCTGGCTAAAAAAAAAATATAAAAACTCCCAAAAAAAGGCAGATAGGGGAAAAAATTTAAAAACATTTGCACATTTCGGGTGAGATATGAATTATGAAATTTTAGTAAAAATTTATTGCTTTTTATTGCATTTTTATTTATTGCTAATTCATTTAAATAAATTTAATTTAAGCCCCAATAAACAGGTGAGGGAAAAAAGGGCAATCTGGTCCCCTTTTTTTATTTTGACCCCAACAGTCTTTATAATGTCAGGGGGTTATAGTCTATAAAAATAAATTTACCTCGACTCATGTTGATTTTACCTAGAAGGGTCAATTATTGGGGTTTTCACTAATTATTTCTATAATTTGCTATACCTTGGTAATCAATCAATAGATTATATTCATACTGGAACGGCGGCTCTTGTTTAACTATTGTTTACACATTTAAGATGGCTGTAAGCAGACATATTTGATACCATATACGCCTGGAGCAACAGGGGGATAAAGGAATCATAGAATGGGTAGGTACAATATTATTATTTTAATTTAGTAATTGGGTTATTTTCCCTCTGTTTTTTTTGTTTTTGTTTTTTTGTTTTGGGTTTTAACTATTTAAAAAAAGGGGTTTTTTCCCATATTGGCGGTCATCCACCTAAATAATTTTTTGATAAAAATACCATTATCAAATTCTCTGCTTGTACTCTACTGTTTATAAAAAGGGTTTATGGTAAAATTGGTTGAATTTGTTCTAAATTGGGGGTATGGTAAATAGAAAATTGAACGAAAATCCAAAAAAAATTTCTAAAGTATGTTTTAAAAATGAAACGACCGCCCCAATTTATGGGTGAACGGATAAAAGGGGTGCCCGTCCAAAACTATGAAATTAAAAAAACGTACCTTTTAAAAAATTTCGTAAATTTCAATTTTTTTGGAATGTTTTGAAGTTTAAAAGAAATTTTTGAAAAAATTTTTAACAGGCGCAAAAAAAATTCCCGCCAGACAACTAATTTAAAACAAAAAAATGAGCGAATATTTGAAATTTATGTAAAATTTGTTAAAAACAATTTTTTAAGATAATTAAATTTTGTATTCCCCTTATTTGATTTTTACATTTTAAATTACTTTCATCCAAGACTAAAAACGAAAATTTCATTTTTTTTTTTACCCCTAATAAGGTGATGTTTTTTTTTCATTTAGCTTTTTAAGTATGAGTCTTAAATGCATTGTAATGGGGTTTAAAATTTTAAAGTCT